ACTTCCCTGCCCCAATCTCCCTGTATGTTCAAGGTATTTGATGAAGTTATATATGTCTCCTTTAGATCCCTGCCCCAATCTCCCTGTATGTTCAAGGTATTTGATGAAGTTATATATGTCTCCTTTAGATTTGACATGAGTATTATAAGTGGATAATGCATTTGACTTTTCATTGTTTCACTTAGACCTCATGATAAATGGATGGAATTCATAAAATCAAGAACTATTAGAATAAGTGATTTAAATTTAGGATAAATTACACAAATGATCCCTATGGTTTTGGGTAGCATGCATCTTCAGTCCTTCAATTTTTTTTTAACTCGGATTATCCTTATAGTTTTGTTTTGTTCGATTTTTGGTCCTTAATCGTATTTTTTTGGATTAAATTTCCAGTAGGGAGTTGGATTATTGTTGCCCCACTCCCACCTTCATGGTTTTCATATGATATGGTTTCAAGATTTTGCTTTTCATTAGGTTTCATATTTTTGTTTTATGTGATTTGGTTTCCGTATTTTCGTTTTCCGGTGGCCGATGATGTGGTGAGCAATGTTGCTTCAGGTGATCATCAATGAGGCAGCAAGGAGGTGCTAACAGCGGTGGTCATAGGAGACGAAGGATATATGGATGGAGGGTGAGAAGTGGTGATAAAATGGTTAGAGCTTAAGGTTAAGAGTACAAGTGTATGAGCATGAGAAAGAGAACATATTAGATGTAGGATATATTTAATATATAAATATAACTAATATATAAATTATTAAAAAAAAATTACAAAGATATATTAATAATTTTAAGTTGTTTTGAGACCTAATACGAAACAAAAACAAACAACATGAATGGTCAATTGTGTAAATTATTAAAGAAAATAAGAAAAACTACAAAGGCATACCCCAAACCATAAGGACCAATCATGTAATTTAACCTTAAATTTATAGCCAAAAGATATAGATAGATGATGTTGGGTGGATATCCCAAACGAAGAAAAAATTATGACCCTTTTTACATTTTTAGTTAATTGACCACTTCTCGGTCTACATTGTGTTATTTATTTAACAAAATATTTAAAAATAACTAAAATCCAAATATATACATTTTGAATTTCAAGTATCTGAAATACCTGAAAATTCATAACTAATGAATTCAAATCCGAAATATCTATATAGGCATAAATAGATTTACATAAATAATCATTTCTCATTTTTTCGTAAATTCATAAAATCAATATCGAAATCTGAAGAATTTAATCAAGTAGTAGTTTACACCTTATAAATTGGGTATCAAAAACATAAATGTTTACGTTTCTGTATAAAACTAACCGTCAAAGAAAACAATTACTAAAATAAATTATTTGACAACTGTCCGAAGGAAAATAGTCACAAATAAAAAATGATTTGCTAAAAGTGATTATTTTTCGATAGAAAATTGTTCAACAAAATATTATCCACTGTCCGACAAGTGGCGAATTTACATACAACTACCATGGGTCACTTGACCCACCTTTTTTTTTAACAAGTTATATATAATAGTTTTTAGTGACCTACCATATAAAAATCAAATGAACCACTTATGAATAAGATTTTAAAGCCCATATCATATAAGTTAACAGCCCAATATTTTTATTTAGGGTATACTCTATTATACATAGTCTAATACAAATTAAATTAAAAAAAAAAATTGTTAGTCAAGATCGGCGTGGTTCCATTCACAGACACAGTTTAAGTTGTTCTTTCACTCAAGCACTTTGGGAATTGGGAATTTGAGATATCCTTAGCAGCCACACAAGAACACAACACAATTAGGTAAATATTCATCTTTTTCTAAACAATAAAATATGAAGAATAATATTTCCAATTTCTTTTTCATCTAAAACCACAATATGAGTAATCACAATTTTTATTCACTGTTTGGCGTTCAATTATATATATATATATATATATATATATATATATATATATATATATATATATTGTTTGTTTGTTTGTTTCATACTCTTAATACTCTTAATGTGATATGATTATTTGATTGTTGTTAATTTGTTTGATTATTTGATTGTTGTTTCTTTTAGAAATTAAAATCAAGGATGTCTTTATTCAAGTTTTTTCAAAAGAATGATAAAAAAAAGTTGAAGAAGATAATGAGCAACATAAGCATATGAGAGTTGATTTAAGTTCACTACCTGTTGATCCGGCCGAACGATCGGGTATGGAATGCTATCATGTGAATCAAAGAAATGAAATTAGAAGGGCATACTTGCAAAAAGGTCCTTTCCAACCTCAAAACTATAAGTTTCCACAACGTGCTTTTGGAGGTAAACAACGAAGATTCAATATATCTTGGTTTGATGACAACAAATATTGGTTAGAATATAGTATAAAAGAGAACGCCGCCTTTTGCTTATGATGTTATCTATTCAAATCCGATATACCAAACCAAGGTGGATCAGATCATTTTGTAAAATCTGGATTCAAAGCTTGGAATATGAAATCAGGACTAGATGATCATAAAGCTGGAACTCCACACAATATTGCTGTCCAAAAATGTCAAAATTTAATGAACCAAAGGCAATCCATAACAACTGCTTTTGAGAAACAAACCACTTTACAAGAAAAAGAATATCATACCCGTTTAAATGCTTCAATTGATTGTGTTAGATTCCTATTGCGTTAAGGATTAGCATTTCGTGGTCATGACGAGAAGGACGAATCAGATAATAAATGTAACTTTCTTGAACTTTTACAATGGTTAGCTGATCGATGTGATGTGGTAGATCGTGTTGTGTTAAAGAATGCTCCAAAAAATACACAATTGAAATGCAGTGATATCCAAAAAGATATCGTGCAGGCATGTTCAGATGCAGTTATGAATGTTATTATGGAAGATCTTGGAAAAAAGTTTTTTGCAATTCTAGTAGACGAGTCACGTGATGTTTCTTGTAAAGAACAATTGGCATTAGTATTGAGGTTTGTAAATAAAAAGGGGGAAGTTGTAGAAAGGTTTGTTGGCCTTAAACATGTTAGTGACACTTCAGCTTTGACACTAAAGGCTACCATTTATGATATGCTCTCAAAGTGGAATTTGAGTCCTACTAGCATTAGAGGGCAAGACTATGATGGTGCTAGTAACATGAGTGGTGCATTTAATGGATTGAAGACTTTGATTATGAATGAAACAAAATTTGCATACTTTATTCATTGTTTTGCTCACCACTTACAGTTAACCCTAGTGTTTGTTGCAAAAAATCACACGAAGGTTAATGATTTCTTTGATGCGGTTTCTCGGCTGTTAAACATTATTGGATCTTCTTACAAGCAACGAGATAATTTAAGAAAAAAACAAGCAGATAAAGTTATGGAAGCATTGGTTGAAGGTTTGCTTTATAATTGTACTAAATTTATTATTAAAATATTTTGTATTTATGTTATGCTAATTAATTATTTATATGGTAAATTTTAGGTAAAATTGAGAGTGGTACCAGTTTGAATCAAGAAGTGGGTATCAAACGACCATCCGATACTCGATGGGGTTCTCATTTTCATCTCTATTGAATATCAAGAACATATATTCTTCCATTTGTGAAGTACTTGAAGACCTTGGTAAAGATAATAGTGACCGTGATCGTAAAGTTGAAGCAATTCGCATCTTAAGGTTATTAAAGTCATTTGATTTTGTGGTTTGTCTACACTTGATGGTTGATATCTTGGGAGTCACAGATCATTTGAATACAACATTACAAAGAAAATATCAAAATATCGTAAATTCCATGAATCAAGTAAGTAGCTCTAAAAAAGCAATTCAAGAAATTAGAGATTTAGGATGGGAACCACTTTTAGGGAATGTTACTTTATTTTGTGATAAACACGATGTTAGAATCGTGGATATGGAAGATGAATATTATGACAGATTCAGTCGTCGAAGAGGTTCACAGGTTAGCAACGTTTGATATTACCAACTTGATTTATTTATTGTGTTTTCTCATTTTCATATTAAAGATTCTTTTTATTTTCAGATTAATAACTTGCACCACTATCATGTTGATGTATTTAAGGCGGTGATTGATATGCAACTTCAAGAGCTTAACCATCGCTTTAATGAAGCCAACACGAAATTACTTCTTTGCATAGCTTGTTTGTGCTCGCGTGAGTCTTTCAAAGCCTTTGATTTGGATAAACTAATGGAAATGACTATACTTTATCAGGAAGAGTTTCGAACAGAATATGATCTTCAAGTTCTTGAAGTTGAACTTAAAAATTACATTAAGGATGTGCGAGAAGATGAAAGATTAATCAATTGAAGAACATTGGAGAACTTACCAAAAAGATGTTCGAAGTACAAAAGCATATAATATATCCTAAGGTTTATATTCTCTTGAAACTTGCATTGATCTTATCCGTTGCAACAGCAAGTGTGGAACGCGTATTTTCAGTAATGAAGTTGGTAAAGACTGATGTACGCAACAAAATTGGTGATCAGTTTTTAAGTGATAGTTTGGTGTCATATATTGAAAAAAATGTTTTAGGAAGTATTAGTAATGACACAATCGTGAAATTGTATTAAGTTATAGGACCTCGTCGGGTACAATTGTAAGAACTTTAAATCTTTTTTTTTCTTGTATAACTCAACCCGACCCGAACCCGAACCCGCAATAGATTTTTTTTTGATATTTTTTTGTCTATTGAGTTTAAATAGTAAACCATGTGGTTTTAGGTTCTAGACTCGCCACTGTGTCCGACGAAAGAGAACTAATATCCGAAAGAAGTTAATCCTCGTTGCTACATTGCGCTAGTACTATTCGTTGTCGCAAAACCGAGCGATAACGGTATCAATATTTGTAAAAATATAACACGTTTCCGGATGAAACTAATATCGAAACAGCAGCTTTCCGGTAGTAAGAATAATAAAGGTGGTAATAATAATAATAATCAAACAATTCGCAGCTTTGTGCTAGTAATAATAATAATACAGTAATAATAATCTTTTTATTATTATTATTATTATTTTTTTTTATTAGGGTTTTGTTACTTTCACTGCCCTCCCTTTGAAATCAGATCGCTGCTCAATCTCCCACTTGAATTGAAAATCGCTGCTCCTGCCTCCGGTAGTCGACGGATGAGAGTCAAGCGGCTAGCCGAAGTCGGAAATCGTCTACACTCTGAGCTCTGAACTTGGATTCGTGAAGAGGGAAAGGGAAGCTTCAAGCTCGTAATTGCCAGTCATTATCCCTGACGTTGTAATTGACCATTGTATGACGCCACCTGCCGCCGTAGACGAGCTGCTTTCTTCTCCGCCTCTGTGCTCCGGTAATCTTTTTCTTATTTTCTGATAAGTTGGTAATCTCTTTTCTGTCGTTCATAATCAATGTTTCAAACCATGAAAATGATTAATTACCATTTCTAATTCGCGATGGTACATTTTCCAATGTTTTTATTTTTATTTTTATTTTTATTTTTTTATGCTGATTGTTGCTAAGTTTTTTCTTCTTCCTTTGTTAACCCCTAATCTATCGTGAACACCTATGGTATGGTTTGGAAATGAATGCACGAACTCAGCGGCTACAAACATTTGTGGGGGAGATGATGCTTTTTTTGAATTTCTCTTTCACACCATGATTTGTGTGGATGAAAGTAATTAGGGTCTGAATAATATATTAACCACAATAGTTAAATTAAGGAGATAGGATTGAAAAACAAGAACTCAAAAGGCACAAGTATTTGGTTGTATAATTCCATTAGATTTGATGATTCTAGAGTTTGTAAGCTTTTAGAGTTTGTACAATACCATTAGATTCACAAGTCGGAATTGATGATTCTAGAGTTTGTACAATTCCATTAGATTCACAAGTCGGAATTGATGATTCTAGAGTTTGTAAGGTTCAAATCTCATTTAACTTTCCAAAAACCTTTCTACAAACTTCATCATCAATCATCCAATATTCAAATGCTGTAGAAATTTCTTCATGATAGATTTCATTCCCTTAAAAAAATCCCACCATGAATCCATACATCTCTTTACCCTTAACTAGCTATGGGCCCCTAGAGGAAGCTTCAAACATATATGATGGTTTCCATCGAAGGTTCTCATGGTATTGATGATTTCATAAATGTGATTTGATCTCATCTCACTGAGACTAAGTTAAATTCACCATCTCAATCCTTAAATCCCAAATTCCCAATCATATGAGTTTCTACCATTCATGGAGCCTGAAACTTTCATTTCTCCCCAAACTCCACCAAAATCAATTAGGGTTTGATCAAGTGAAGTTAGTGTTATTGATAGTGATAATGACAACCTACCTATATGCTACATAGCGATAGTGATGGAATAGCAACGGCTATTTCATTTTTGGGATTGCCTATTAAAAATTAATATTATTTTTACCTTCACCTATTTAGCAATTATAACAACTAAATAAGCTAAAAACCAATACTATTAACTCAAATAAGTTCTAAAACATGAATATTACATAACTGATTAACAATGATAATTCAAATTATATCTGAGAAGAACAGAAATCTTAAATACATGGTGTACAACAAAGAAAGAAACAAAACAGAGTGTAAAATAATCTGGAAAAAGAAAAACCTTTGAAGCTGATATAGAGAGAAGGAGCAGTGCAGGAAAATTTGTGTTTATCACACTACTTGGCGTCAAACTAACATAAATCTTAGAATACTTTTCTCTTGTTTGTTTTAATTACACTTTACGTAGAAACAAAAATTCAAGTTTACTTAAAATAGAACTTCTAACACTTCAAACCAATTTCTAGCAACTAATACATTAAACAGGAAACGGAATAGAAAACTGGAACAAAAGTGGTAACACTGGATTTATGGTATAGTCAATTGAAGGAATTCTAGAATAGGAGTACAAGAATGTGGAATATAGAATCAATTGAATCTATTGGAAGCATGGTTCTAAAAAGCGCGCCATGACGCGCCTCAAGGTGTGCCATGGCGTGAGGCGTGGTGAAGCCGTTAGGAAAATGTCCAAGGCGGGTTTGTTAAGCGTGACGCCCAAGCGTGTCTTATCGTGTTATGGCGCGAGTTTTTTTTCAAGGCACGTTTTTTTTTCCTGATCAGGCCTAAAATAATTGAGTTGTTAACTATTTTATATTAAATATTAATATAACACTTCTAAAAACTTGATATATTTGATAAAATTAAATGATTATATGATTTATCTTTTATAATGTATATAAAATAGTTACGCTTTGAAAAACGTCATGGCTCGCCAAGTCTCGCCATGGCATAACTTTGACCTTCCCGTCAAGCCCATGCCTCACGTTATTTAGAACCTTGATTGGAAGCATCAAAATTCACAAATGAAATCGAAAATTCACAATATCGAAATCAGCGATTCAAACTCCAAATTGGGGACCCCAATCACGAATTGGACCAATTCCGATCGGAAAAAAAACATTCTAGCAACCGATTTTGCCATTTTATAAAAAAAATTGATTTATACTGGATTAAACAAAAAAAACTTTATATCGCTACGTTGCTTTTACCTTGCTATAAACCCCATAGCGACACACCATCGTCTCGCCTCGCTATTCGCTATAGTAATCATAGCGAGCGCTATTGACAACATTGAGTGAAGTTTAGGTGATCTAGAAGAAAACATCCATAGAAAACAACAAACATTATTATGGTTTCATTTTTCAGATTTAAAATCCACCCAAACCCTAGATGCGAAAATAGGGAAGAAGAAATTCAGTGTTATCGATAGCGAGGAAATAGCGAAAACCTACCTATGACTATTTCATATTTAACAATTGCCTATTAAAAAAAAGATACTATTTTTACTTTCACCTATATAGCAATTATAACTACTAAATAAGCTAAAGCCCAATACTGTTAGATCAAATAAGTTCTAAAATGGCTTCTTCTTATGCTATGAACATAAACTTATATAATAGTCTTGACTGAAACTCATTACTCAACTCTCCATTTTTCAACTTACTATTTTATTGCCATGATTTTATCTTGTAATTTTGTTTTTCTTTTTGGGTAAAAAAAATCTGGAAGAGAACAGCAAGATTAGTCACAGTAGATGATGGTCACATTCGCTCCTCAACCCCTCCAATTAGGGATACAAATTTTGTTTTGTTAGAGAAAGTGGATGTTTTTATGATTTTGAGTGGTGGACTGGAGTAATCACCAAAAAACTTGCTGATAATAGATACATTGTGTTTTTTAAACACAATAATAAAGAGAGTGAATTTAGTCACCTTGAATTAAGACTGCATGTTGAATCTAACTCTGTGAAGCAGCATATCACTGAAGATAAAGCATCAATGATGAAGAGAACAAAGGTGACAAATGGTGGAATTGGAAGCAATGATAATAAACATTTGAAGTCTTGTAGTAATAAATTAAATACTGGAATCACTTTTGATGATCAAACCCTATCAGATGTGGGGCCCAGTAAAGAATTGAACAACCTAATTGTTGGTGAAACTGAGCTACTTTCTCGTGGAAAGAGAATGGTGGGTTGAATCAATGAATCTGTGATATTAACTTTAAACAATGTTTTATTGATGATAAAGATTGCATTTTTTTTAATACATGTGCAGCTTATTAAACGAGAAAAAAATATTGGATTCAGTAAGAGTCCAGTTCCAGTGATGATTACTTCTTCAAGAAAGAAGGGGAGATCACCTGATGATTCTGGAGTTGTGAAATCTTTTTTACCCAAAGGTTAGAAATTTTAATTTTGATTTTTGTATTTTCTCATCTTGGAAAATATAGCAAGTTAAATAAATTTGGCAGGAGGTGAAGGTGATTCGATGAAAATAAAAACCCCGAAGAGTGTTGAGAAAGTGGTGCATGTTAGCGAAGAGCTGCATCCTCCACCTATTACCTGTGTTATGGGTTTGCAATGTAAAGTGGTGACTACTATGTTACAAACTAAGAATGTGAATGTAAAGTCGCCTACCATGATTCCTCCCAATGTGAGATTTTTTTTTTTTTTAATGAAATGTAATAAACCATCTCAATATTCATCATCACATTGTGTAGGAGGGGAAGGAAGCGGATGGAGGTAGTGGGACTCTAAAGAGGAAGAGGGGAAGGCCATTCAAATCAAAACTCAAAAAACCCAAAACACCTTTGGCAGGTATAATTTTTTTTAAAAAAAAAAAAAACCATATCACTTTTGACTTACATTAAACAAAAAAAATTATTCGAAAATTTTCAGTAACAGTGATCCATGAGAATGGGGATGCATTGCCATTGACAAAGACTCCAATAGAGAAAGTACCAAACACAACGATAAAGAAGTATAAATCCGTAAAAGGAAAACGAGGCAAACGCCGTAAAATAAAAAGCATTAACATGGTATCTCCACATTCACTTGAAGATTCATCATCAAAATTAAAACAAAAACAAAAAGAAAAGTTAGGGTTAGGGTTAGGGTTAGGGTTAGAATTGACAATCTTGGATGAGGATCAACCTCTATCAATGTGGTTCGAAGGAAAACAAAGAAATGGTGGTGAGAAATTACCATTCGAGAAACGAAGCACCACACTATGGGAAACATTGGAAGCAATGGAGATATTCCAGAAGATTCCACAAAACCCACATTTTCGTCCACTTGAGAAAGAAAAGGAATGCACGCGCGAAGGACACGCGATCAGCAAAATGGTAAGTTACGTGCGTATAATGGAGTCAATCTCACAACAACTGACACTGGAGGACCGAAGAAGTGTGTTTGAGGAAAGCCTTGAGGCGTTGTTGGATTTGGAGTCGCATGGGTTTGATGTGAAGGTGGGGAAGGAGCGGGTGAGTGGGTTGCTTAGGATTAAAGAGAAACAGGAGTTGCTTGAACAAGAGTCGAAGAAAGTGAAAAAGCAAATGGAGGTGGAGAGAGTTGAAGGGGTGAGGATTGATAAGGAGATTGAGTTGGTGGATCAACAGGTGGTGGTGTTGTTGGAGAGACGTGCACAGGTGTTGAAGAGGAAGGTGAAGAAGGATGCGGAAGTTGAGAGTTTGGAGGCTCAGATAGAAGAAATTCATCGGGGGATATCGGAGGTTAGATGTAAGTTTGATGGTTTGGCTGCATCATCTTTGTGTGGTTGACTTTGATTGTTTGTGTATTTATTGTGTTAGTGCTAACTAGTAGGGGATTTTAGTTGAAGAGCTTGTAGTGTGTCATGCTCTTCTTTTAGTTATGACTTATTAGACCTTTAGCTAAATTAAATGGTTTTATGACTTCATCACCTTAACATCAAGACTGTTTGTTTGGTTAACATGGAATTGCAAAATAGTTTTATTGTCACTTAAAACCAGAAAAAATAAAATTAACTTAAAGTAAACTAGTAATAATTATAATAATAATAAAGATACAAAAATAATTATTTAAAAAAATCCTGTTAGTTTTGATATTTTTTATAGCGGCTAAAATCTCAAAAGTAAAAAAGATTGATGGGGATTCTTTTTTTCATAGATATGGTCAAATTTGGAGGATTTTTTTGAAAATAACTGTCTTAGAAAGTACCATCTAAAATAACACCAAGAAATTTCGAAAAAATTCATACGTTTTTACTCATTATCTAAAGAACCACTATGAGTTCTTTCCAAAAAAAAAAAAAAAAAAAAAACACATCGATGATTTGATTTTTCTTCTTTTCCTATTTAAGTTGTTTTTTACCTATGAAAATAACAGTTAACAAAGTTATAAATGTTTACATGAATTGATGGATTGTTTTGGACAGACTATTTTTAAATGATATGGGTTATGTCCTTTTAAATGATATGGATTATGTCCTTATAAGAATTTGTAACATGGTTAGGGATTTAAGGAATGAGTTTGAAAAGTATTTCTTGATTTATTAGATTTTTAAAAAGGCTATAAAATTTTTTATAAAAAAGATGTGTAGGAAGCAAATAAGTACTTTTGAAATAACTTTCTACTATCATCAAAAAATTATTTTTCAAAAGTAACACTTTTCTAACTTTTTAAAATAACTTAACTTGTTAGATTGAAAAAACAATAATATCCCCAAACTTATTTACTATTTTTAGTCATTTATTCATTTTACAATATGTAAAAAAATATTAAATAGGTTTAAATATGTAAGCATGTATTTTTTTTTGGTCATTTTACATATACAAGTTAATTCAAACATTTTCTAAAAAAGATTTATCACTTTATAGCTTCTTGCCACCACATAACAAACTCATTTTTATTGCAAAATAAACTAAAACAATTTTATCAAAAAATGCTTATTGAATTAAATAAGGAATCCCAAACACCCCTTGGTAAACAATAGCTTAAATGAATAAAAATTATCAATGTGTTTTCTAGAAAAAAACATATAATCGTTTATCAAGTACAAAGTGAAAATGTAAGCATTTCTTTCTTTTTCTTCTTTTATTATTATTTTTTTTTATTTTAATAAATTGATTATTATAAAAACATAAAATATAAAAAAAGGATAAAAACCGAAGGCGTGTATCTAAGAATGGAATAATATGTTGGTGATTTGTTTCATTAATAGTATTTAAGTGTAATAGATTAATTTGTTGACCAAAAATAATCTTCATAAATATTAAACAAGTATGATGATGCGGGATGCATACTTGTTTAAGTTTGTTCAAGATTCAAAGTAGACTGTCATTTAGAAGCGAAACCTCTGAATGAACGAGGGTTCAGGGGTAGTACCCTTGTGAGTGGGGTCTAAGGGGTGGCAGCCCCTGGCGGGGTTCAAGGAGTAGAGCTCCTGGCTGGGGTCATAACTGTCTTGTGATAATTTTCAGACATAAATGATATACTCGTTTTTTGGCCATTTTTTGGGTACATCTTCAAGAACATTTCACTCACATTCTCTAAATTCGAAATCTCTGAATTTTACCTAATTGAGTGTTCGATTTATACCATCGAAATACTTCAATTTGATAGTAAAACCACGACTTTCAGAAAATCCAAACAATTTTTCCATCCCCAATTTGTAATATAATGTGTATAATTTGTATGTATGAGCACATTGAGTTCAACAAAAACATACCACAAAAGCAATAACTTTTTAGTTCATCTGTTATCAAATGAACGCCGTACCATATGCACCAACGTTGTTTTAGATACATTGTTGCCTTGTTGGTCCTATTAAAATGGAAATCATCCTGGTTATAATTTACTAGTTATATTTACCTTGTAACATGACTTAAGTTGAGGTAAAATTATTAATAAGGTTTATTTGTATGTAATGTCTGTCTTCATTGAACATAAGCATTTAAGGCTACTCCCATAAGCATATGTACGCTTGTATAATATAACAAAAATTAATCATAATTAATACTCCCTTCGTCCCAATATTATGTTCCATTAAATGCTTAGTTGGTTAAGTAATAATGAGGGGGTATTTTGGTAAAAATGTTATTTATTTTTAGAAGTGGACTATTATTTTGGAACAAACCAAAAAGGAAAGATGGACTATAATTTTGGGACGGAGGGAGTATAATAGTTTGGTTTGGGTTCGTTTCCGGGAATCAGTGAGATAGAGGCCACCGCAGAAGTTGGAGCTGTGACATCCCCAAAACCACGGCCAGAAAAGACCGGTTTCATTTATGCTTTTAAATAAAATCAGAGTAATCTTTTAAAGAAAACGGTTGCGGAATTTGTTCCCAAATAAGATATGATAAAAATTTATCAAAACATTTCTCAAAGAGAATGTACTATTTATTAAATAATAAAATCTCGGGATGTCATGTTCCGATACAGACCAAAAGCATAAACAGTATAAAATAGACCTTACAACAGTTATTTATAACTACTGATCTATAATCCAAAATCTCTCGTCAAGTCCACCAACTTATACTCTCGTGCCATTACCTGTAATGCAAAGAAAACTGAGTGGGTCAGGCTTGGGAGCCTGGTGAGCATATAGGGTTTTCAACCCACAATAATATAATTTTTATATTTAATCATCAAACAAACAATCCAATTACCCATCCCCATTATCTTCTTTATTTCTTAAGTTCTTATCTTAAGAATCCACTATCATTCATTCGTTCGTTCCTAAGGATTTACCTAAGGAATTGGCACAAAGTCCATTGCTGCCCGAGGTTCATCTACGCAGTACTAAATCCATAGCTACCAAGGTTCATCCGTACAATACTAAATCCATAGCTACCAAGGTTCATCCGTACCGTACTAAATCCATAACTACCATTGTATTTATATAAGACACTAAGTCCATAGCTGCCAGGGTTTTTTTTTTTAGAGTACATCGGTGAACACATCGTTCACAACACCTACAAGTTGCGAGCTTGCTAGTGTTCCACAAGACTGTCTAGAATAGTCCGTGGTTGTCATCCCTACTCTGCTGAATGACGGGGGCCATCGTTTGGGTAACGGTTTCACTCATTTTTCACCTGTCACGATCATCTCATGATCTATATCATCTTTCGTCTCATCCTCAAACAAATCTTTCATCACTCACCAACTATTTCATCTACCCATGTTCTACCCAACATATTTGTAGATATAAATTACGTATATAGTTTAAATCATATACAAACCTGTATAAAACATTCATCCAACATCCATCTCAAATAATATATATATATATATATATATATATATATATATATATATATATATATATATATAAACACATAACACGTATTTCATAGCAAATACTTCATATCTATGTGTTAGAAGAAAGTAACTATACACTCACCTGATAACACGATGATCGGACAGCACCTCGTCTCTTAAAATAATCTTTTCCGATAAAACCGGGACGTTTTCTCCAAAACCGAGCTTTACGCGGGCAGAGTCTCGGCTCGGAAACTTTGCTTCTCGGGGTCTTCGGGACTTGCTTCGGGGCTCGGGAATGATACCGGGGCTTCGGGATAACTCTGGCACGAAAAACAAGGCAAAACGGGAGAGAGAGAAGAGAAAAGGAGCAAAATGGCCGACTGCCCTCGCATCCTTTATATAGGGGCAGAAGCCTCGCATTACGCTGGGCGTAATGCTCAGCTACGCGGGGCGTAGCGCTTCGGAAACGTCACTGCATGCGTCATCGGAGCACTCGAGTGCGAGGCGGGTCACGCTTCGGTGTACGCTGGGCGTACAGCTCTACGCTGGGCGTAGTTCGGATAGGATCAGCGACTCCTTCGGATAAGCTTTGGTATGCGTGCCACGATCTTCAAAAATTCATAACTTTCGCATACGAGCTCCGTTTTCGACGTTCTTTATATCCACGCGTAGGTGAGACTAAGCTTTACAACTTTCGTTTAGACTCCATTGGCTAATTTTGACTTTATTTTTATTGTAATATTTTTAGTAGGCCGGGACAGGAAAACTCCGTTATAAATTTATAACTTCTTCATCTGACGTCCTTTTTCGTCTGTCTTTTTACCATTGGACTACTAACGATGAGATCTTCAATTCTCGTTTATATTGTTTCGGCTAAATATCGCTCGATCTCATATTCAAACTTCGGGCTGTACACTTCTAAGCCAAAATTTCGAAAAATCATAACTTCCTCATACGAAGTCAGATTTAGACGTTCTTTTTATGCACGCTCTCGGTTTAACGTATTCTATGACTTTTGTTTAGATCGCTAAGGCCAAATATTGCTCTAACGTAAATTCACTATTCACGTCGCGCTGTGTCGTGCCGGTTCTGTCGCGAAACTTCGACAGGTCATATCTTCTCCGTTATAACTCGGATTTCGGCATTCTTTATATTTTCGGAAACCTTGTGACATATACTTCAACTTGGTTAAGATTATTCATTATAAACAAACTTCCATCAAAAAAGTCATTTTTTGATGCTTATCGTCTCTAAATTGACTAGCCCGGATCTACGGGCGTTACAGGAGCTATGGTCGGCTTTGATATTGATGCCAAGAATGAACTGCTGGCCGAAATCCTTAGGGTATCCGGTGAGATTACTGTGCCCAAATGAATTTTCTATCAATCAATATACGGGGAATGGGGGAGAACTATAAGGTGGATTGGGTTAGGAGGTTGAAGACGAGTCATAAATGCTCTTTTATAGCAATCCAGGAAACTCAGTTAATGGAGGCTGAGAACATTGATGTACGCTCGTGTTGGGGTTATGATGAATTTGGTGCTAACCGTGTCAATGCATCAGGGAGGTCAGGTGGTCTTCTAAACATATGGGATAGGAACATGTTCACCCCTAATGAGGTTATCTCCTCTAGACATTACATTA